GCTCACTCCGCTCGCTCGCCTCCGCGCTGCGCGCGCTCGCCTCCGCGCTTTGTTTACTTGCCGTTGCGCTTTCTTCGGCCTTGTCTGCAGCGAGCTTCGACGATGAGGCTGCCTCGTTCGCAGTCCTCGCGCTCTCCGTTGTGATTGTAAGCAGACGACTAACGTCTTGTGCGAGTAGATCTGCAGAGGGGAAAATTCGCTCAACATATCGATTCCGCTTACACAGGAATCAAGGGCACTTGGCAGGCGGCATGTCCATAAACGCCATGCAGCCAACTTCAACGGACATGCCAGAAGAAGAATGCAATCAGATGATTTCTTGATAGCACGTCAACGCCGGGAGCTGCACACTTTCAGCTGATGAGCGGAAACACTTGGTCAGGTAAGGGACGTTTCTTACGTTCGCAAGATACATATAGGAGGGCCCCCACTTTGTGCAGCGCCGACAGGTTGGGGAATATGTCTGGATGAAGCTCCACCAGCCGACGTGCGACAGGCTGACTGTCCCGGTGGAGCGCTAGTGCCGCATATACGATCACCTAGCAATTCAGAACAGAGGCTGACTTAGTACTCAGGTGTGGCCAATTTGACTGGTTGCGAAATCCGTAACACTGGACCTGATGTGGCAATGAACAGATTCTGTACACTCCAGTTTCTTTCTAACATTGGAATCCATCCATAATCTCTTCCACTAGACGTCCACAACAATTGATGGGGAGGGCACGAGGCCAATTTGTCTCAATTTGTCACCCAGGATCGGCAGTTGGGATCGACCGATCAGGTCCGAAACATGTCGGATAGAGTCAGCCAATCCACCGTATCCAGTTCAGCGAACGCATTTTGCAGACTCTATGCATGATTCTGCTTACCTGGGGCGCTGAGAAGGAGCAGTCGGAAGTGCTCTGCAGGTCGGTCAGGGGCGTGCTGTCAGCTGGGGCGGTGCTCTGTGAACTGGTTGATCGTTGAAGCGCGTCAGGCGGGGGCACGTGCTGCACGTTGGTTGGCGGGTCAACCGAGGAAGGGTCGACTGGGGGCGCGCTTGGCTGGTCCACACCCATGGATGTTGGGGGGAGATGCTCCGGGCCGCTGGTTGAAGTGGTTTCCACGTTGGTGATGGAGCTGCTGTTGGGGGCAATTGCTAACCGCGCCCTTTGCAGGGCTACTTGCGCTGCCCGCTCCAACGATGCAACCTTCTTCGGGATGCCCGCTTCCTCGACGAGGGACGACTCCGCAACCACCAGGCTATTTGTGCCTGGCAGCGCCGAAGGGGTGATCTTGCTGTTTTCGGACGCTTCAATTGGGGAGTCTTTCGGGGTTTGTGGCTCTGGATTCAGTGGTTCCACAATGTTATCCAGGCCCTGCAAGTACCAGACGTTACACAGCTGTCAGACTAGAAGGGCATGAAAGCTCCGGAAATGCCAGTTCAGCAGTGAAACAAACTCTGCAGCAGCCACAGCCACCTGCCTGACAGTCATGGACCGTAGTGCTTTCTCTTGTCCAACGTGCTTCTCAAAGCAAACGGTTTCTTGAAACCGTTTCTGCCACAATCAGCTCTTTACCAAGTGCCAAAAGTACTGCCTCGGCCATGCTCAGAAGGACTCAGAGTGAGGAAGACACTCCTATTTACCACCAGGCCTTGTTCCCAGGATCAGGGCAAGAAATACCCCAGACAATCAGGCCTAGTGGTGAGGAGCAATGTTAACCTTTTCTATCACCATTAAGCCCTTGCTTGGAGCCCCAACAAGCAGAACAACCATGCATACGTGGCTCAGTACGAAGGGTGACAGCATGAGAAGCCTCCTCTGCGCTCGAAGACTGAAATCAGACACATACACTCGCGGCATTCCCAAAGTTGAGCTCCAGTGGTTGACTTACAACGCGCAATATGAGTCCCCTTCTAAAGTGGATACAAGTAGTACTCCGCAGGCAGTTTGACTCACCACCAGCGTGATCGTCAACTTTCCGGGTGATGTTGTCTCTCTTGACCGTCGTGTGTGGATGTAGAGATCCACTTCCAGGCTTGCATCCACAGCTGGAGCGGCTGCCTTTCCGTCCCCCTTTTCTAAGATAGCTTTTGACAGACTCTGAAGCGTCATGATGGGGTCCGGCACATTTCCCCTGGCGTGCTCGACCAGGAGGGTCTGCAAGCTGAGCACATTATTCTTGATCTTCTTATCCCTCCCACTATGTAACAATGCCCTTGCAATGTCATGCATGTTGGCGAGTGCTGCCTGCGCATCCAACCCATTCACCTGTCGGGCAAAGGACTGTGATGTCACATCTCCTGCTTCACAAACCTTTACATTGGCCTTCTGTAAATACTGGAGCAAAAGATTCTGTGCTATAAGCTCCTGATACACAGAAATCCCCTCCCGAACCATGACGGTGGTCAAAATGCTGTTCTACTGATCTAGATCTGGAACTAGCAAGCCGCAAATGCCGCGGACGGCGCAAGAGAGATGTCCTCTTATCTCTCAAGTTAAGGAGATTGACGGTTGTCAGCGAATAGGGTTCCAGTTCCGCACCTTCACTTTATGTGCAAAGGTTTGCCACCTTTGTTTACGTTCGAAGCCGCCATTCTGACCGTGTTGACTTGCAAGAATCCGTTTGCTGTGGGTACTAGGACTACCTAAGGCTGCACACTGCACAGCGTTGTCCTTCTTTTTGCACGAGATTCATGCGAGCCTCAAGTACCGGATATACGGTGTCAGACTCAGAGTCAGAGTCAGAGCAGTGAGAGCACTCGTGAACGCGTACAGCTGCAGCTAGGCTCAATGGTGCGACACGTACCCTGCACGATCAGTGACGTCACCGCAAAGGTGGGGAGTCATGGCCGTCGATTTGCGGCCATCGCAGGCAAGGGAGGGTCTCGATCTCGATTGGCGGTCGTGACGTCAGGAACCAAACGCTCCTGAACAGGCAAACCGACAAATTAGGGGCGCATGACCGCCCGACGTCTGCGTCGGTCTTGTCGGACGCCGGCCCGCTAGTAGTTCTTAGACCCACTTCGGACGGTCACGTCGAGTTCAGTGCTGGCACCGACGGTGAACGTACTGAACAAGCAAGTTCGGTCACACCGACTGACTCACAGCGTCCGCAAACTCGGTTTACAGTATCGAACTATCGACATCGGAATACTGTGGGCCGGGTGGTATAGGACTACAGCGTAACACATTCGACCGCGAATTCTTGGATTCTGCCGCGAAAATCTGAGTGACTGGGGCCCAGGGTCTCCATATAAGTTTTTGTCCCGGCCAGCCAGCTGCCGGCACCCTCCCGGTTCTTCCAGCTGAGAGTCGGTGTTTGAGGCTACCGGCCAGCTGGGCCCACTATGTACCTGCAGTTTCTGCCAGCTACACAGCAGGCGGGGTGCCTTCGGCACCAGCCGGGGCCCTTACCCGGCCAGCCAGGTCTGCCCCATGCTGCCGGCTGTGGGAAACCCTGCACTGCCGGGCTGTTAGTGGCGCAAAACTATCAAAGTAGACTCCTTTTGTTAGTGTCTCCGCCACTCGATCGGTGTGAATCACTCTCAACCCACCTGGAAGCACCTGAAGTGTGACAAATGTTGCAATCTGTCAGTGGTTACGAGAGTGGTTACAACGTTGACAACGAGACTAACATCGACATCGACATTGACATCGACATCGCCATTGACCCCGGGCACTTACTGTGACATTAGGGTTACGTTGCAAACCTGTGACGGTTCACGCCAATCGACGAGCGCTTTGTTAGGGTTACGCCATTTCCAAGTGACATTAGGGTTACTCACTGACAGTGACAACCGGGCAGAGCTCTTTTGGTTTTAGTGTTGTGACCCGGTTCCATCCGTACTAGAAACCGTACCGCAAGTGTACGGTACAACTTGACATTCTGACACAGTTTTGTTCAAAAGACCTGATCTGCCAGTACGGTCCACGCGGATAGCCTGTGAACCAATGATCCCGCGTGTAAGATGTATTCACACGTTTTTGGAGCCTGAGACACTAACAAAAGGAGTCTACTTCGTCGTACTAGCGTCAGTGGCAGGTTCAAGTGGTTTCTTGCACAATGATGCAATGGCTTCCTATGCAAACTCTCATGCATCATTTATCACAGCCCTTGTGCAATACCTATATAAAGTTCTTTTCAGGGCAATTGCCGTCTCTCTCAGAAGCAATTGGTCAGTGCAATCTGTTCTGAGTCAGGGACTATGCCCATATCATTCAGCATCTTTCTGAATCTTTCAGCATGCTGTAATCTATATCTAGAGAACATCGTCCCATTCTATTTTAATTCTGACCCATGCAAGCCTTATCATTCTGAAGTAATGTCTCAGTTGCACACCACCGGCCCCTAAAATGTACTAATGACACGTTCTTACTCACTCGATCACTCACGTTAGTATGCACTATTGAATTAAGATTGTAAGATGCTATATGGTCGACCTTCGTGAAGAAGGGGGCTCGAAGGGGGTTCCAAGTATGTCACTTACTTTGAGAGCGTCAAAAGGGGTTTTGAGTGGGTTATTTGGATTTGCTACAAAAATGCACAACCCCTACTGCTCGAATTTGCAAGGTTAGGACGGGGTCTCATAAGCTGGCGGTTGAAACTGGTCGTTGGCATGGGGTAGCCCGAGCAGATAGATTGTGCCAAGTTTGTAAATGCAGCTGCATTGAAGACGAGTCACACTTTCTGTTTGATTGTGATGCATATGGAGACATTAGGCTTCAATTTAGGCATCTTTTTACAAAATCTCGTAGCAAGGACCTAGGCGACTTTCTCAATTCCGAAGATCAATTCTCCGTAGCTAGGCATCGTGTCAAAACATCTGTGCAAGGGCGTCCGGAACTCCGAAAAATAAACCGGCCACCAGGGGGGTAACAAACGAAAATTGACCCAAAAAACACCGGCCACCAGGGGTACCCAAGTTCCGACTCGATGTAAACCTGGTTTAAAGGGATATAAGGGGATGGAGCGAGTGCAATATCTGCTTGGTAATTGTCGAAACATGACCAGAGGTTTTCAGGTGCTTCTCTTCGGTTCGGCCCCGCAATCAACTTATAAAAGGCAAAAGAGAGCACTATTACCTAAATGCATCTGGATTTGAGTTGTGTGGTGATATCTGTGCCAAAACATTTGGTTCGAGACTGGTCGGTTGATGTGGCCTCGTAACCTCCAGCCTCTTGCAAGGGGCTGACAGGCTCAAGACAACACATACGCGGCTGATTAGTCGCTAGCTTATAAGCGGAATTCCGCTTCGATTCTTGGAATAATGGAACATTTATCAGAAAATTCAGCCGGGCACCGGCCACCAGCCCCCTCGACTCATCTTGACGGTGCTCCGAGAACCGGCCACCAGCCCCTCCAGATAAATTGCGAAAACCGGAGTTCCGGACGCCACTGCACCTATGTTTTGACATGATGCCCTATGATACATTCATTGGAGCATAAAGAGAAGGAAGGAGAAAGTAGGCTAGCTGAACTCTTGTAGAACAGTCCACTAGGCCTGTTGTGGCCCCAAACGGACTTTAATGAATCATTCATTCATTCATATCGACAAGATTCAAGCCTGCGCCGCGGCTGCAAGATGCATGTACGGCAATTAAGTTGTTTACTAGCTCTTACACAGTGACATGGCGATCGATCTCTTCAATGCATATTAACGCCCTAAGTTTGGGCACGATGGCGCCAGGCCATGAACAACAATCGCCACCGACTCAACGGAGCACTGACCAAATACATGCATGCATGCATACATACATACCGTACTGCCGTATGTATTAGTATGTTGTTCTATAAAAACATCATACTTACTTGGTACCACGGTACTAATACTATGTGTACAGGCAAGCAAAGCTCGGATGTATCACAAGTGAAAGTAAGCCTGAATGATAGTCGGACACGCTTGCATGGTCTTATCTTGGATGTGCTCAGACAATGAGTCATAGCGGTCATTGATAGTGACCAACAACAGAGCCTCACCGCACTAGCAACAGGTTTAACCAATTGCCAAGATGAATATACTCTACACGATTATGCAGAACTGTACAATTCAAAGCTCTAAAGATTTTCAAGGGACACTAGAACTATTGAATAGACTGAACACATAAGATAACATTCGATCTAGGGTTTAGCCTGGGCCGCGCTGTCTCAGTTTCCTAGTACATTTGCAGCTTTAGAATTTGTGGTCACCAGCACGATATATCCTCTTCATGACGGAAATGCGCTCGAAGGGCCACGTTGCCTAAACAGGCTCACTCCTTTTTTAAAAATTTGGTTGGAGACAGTGGAGGATGTCGTCAACGACAACCGTACTACCATATGACTAGAACTGAAAACCGACCTGCCAATAGCACACCAAACAAAGCTGCACGCATGCAAACCCCATTCCTCCAGCCCTATACGTAGGTCGGATGAAACGACAAACCGCCCAGATGCAAGAATCCTAAACGAACCCCTGTGTATCTCTTGAAACAAGAATGGCTTCTGCCTTGTGTGGTCACACCTTGTAAACGTGCACTCCATCCGCATTCAATCCTCATCTGGCTACTATTACCCGTTCTAAGGTTAAAAACCAACGCGCTTTATGCTTACACATTAAGGGGGGTCGCTCTCCCTAAAGCTTGTCCCCCCTGGGGCCGCAGTTAACCGGTCCGCCTGCGCGGCGCCCAAATCTAGCTGAATCCCATTTCCGATCGTCATCACATTCTCCATCTTTGCGGAACCCGTCGGCTCGCCGTCGCCGAGCGCTATCCCGTTCAGCCCGGGCATTGCGGCCCCATTCACGGACTCCTCTCGCGGGGGGGTTGCGACGGGGGCGGAATCGGCCCCCCCGGAGGACGCGTCGTCGAAAAGCGAACCCCAAGCGGAAGTCACCGCCTCTTCGGTGGAGACTGGCGCCTCGGGTAGCTTCTCCCCGATCAGATCCGCCCACACGTTCGCAACCGCGGCCGCGTTCGGGTCCTTAAATCCTGTAAAGGGTTTTAGCGGCCGGGGCGCGCCGACCATGTAGAATGGCCGCGTTCTATCGATGAGCGAATCGAGCTTCGCGAGTGCCTTCACCTGCAGGCAGATGATACAGCTTTTATAACAACGGCTAAGCCCAAGAAACGCAACTCTGAGGTGGTTGCATCTTACGACTAAGTTCAGCGGTCGGGTGTGCTTTCAACTCAAGCTGTGCCAGAGGTTTTTGAAACCGACTGTAAACGAAGGAGTGTCAACGTAATCTGCAAAGGCCGACGGCGTCATAAACCGCCGGCGAGATGGGGCAGCTAAAGAGGCCGTACGCATTCATTTGAACAATCTCAACTCGTGAGTCTATGCCTTTTAGAAGCAATTTACAGCCCTTTAAACTCGAGAGGCCACCAGAGAGCCCGACCGTGTTATTATTCACGCAGGCCCTGCACACGGTTCCGACACTGTATCAACGTACACGGTCCTCGGGCAGATTACACACCTGCGTCTGGTTGGTCATGAGATCCAAGATCTCGTCCCGCCATTGGACGACTCCCTCGTCCATAACTTGCATCTCGATGACCTCATCGGCGGTCAGCGGCCGCCGCTCGTTGTCGTTCAGGACGGATAGCGTGTAGTCGAGAGAAGTGATGCCGTCCTCGATAGCGGTCAGCACCTCTTCCGGGGTACTTGGCATCCGGTCAGCAACAGGCTTATAGTCTGCAGCAAGAATGTGGAGTCTTAGAAAAGCTTCGCGAGAGACACTTCGAGGGGATTTGTCGAGGAAAGTGATGCCATTCTCGATAGCCATAGGACTTCCTCCGGGCTGCTCGGCATACCGTCCGCGACTTGCTTGTAGCCTGCGCATAGAAACCGGGGAATGTTCCATTTCGTGACAGATACAGCGTTTGGATCAGTAGATTCGAGGGACTTAGACGAGTCAAGATGCCGTCCTCGATAGCAAAAAGGACCTCTTCTGGGGTGCTCGGCAGAAGGTCCCAACAGGCTTAGGATGCACGCAAAGGAGTCGGAATCAATATGCTTTACACCGACACGGCCTTTGGAAGCTGCATCCGAGCGCACCATTGCACGGGAGATTGAAGGCAAGAGCTTTCGGAGAAGTGGAGTCCAAGAGCCTGATGTTGAGCGGCAAAAGCTAAGGTCCAATCAACTTTTCGGCTGGCAAAGAATCCAAACTCGACGTTTTGAGGGCTTGTACCAGAGGTGTTTCGAGTGATGGCTTCGATTGAGCGCACCAGAAATACTACATTCAACCGTATGGCAATGACAAGAGCTCGTATAAGCCTAGCTGAAACACTCTTCTTTCGGGCCTCGCTCGCACTAATCTCAAACAATAACCAAAAAACGGCTTCAAACGACTGCTTCAGCTGAGCGCAGCCGAATGCCCCAGACTCAATCTGGCAACCACGAGAGCTCAACATATAAGCCCAGCTAAGATGACGCACCGTCGTAATGAAGCGCCTCAGTCGCACTCATCCCAAGAAACCAAAGAACGGCTGAAACAAACGTCTCCCATGAGCGCGACAAAAAGATACTATCTGCAAGCAAACGCAAGAGCTCGTAGTTCAACCTAACTCAAAGGGACACCCCACGTACAACCGCGAATAGCTTACCCTCGTCTCCAAACACGAGCGCTCATGCCTCAACCTCGTTAAAAACAGGAATCAACGTTCAGCAACGAACAACTCACCGTCGTCTTCGGTGCCATCACGTGCGGCCTCGTACGCCCGCAACGCATCGAGGTAGTCCCGGTCACGGACCACCTCGATGCGTCCGGTTTTGATAAGCTCGTCGATCCGAGAGATCGCACCCGATAGGCTCTCCATCACGTCGAAAGCGCCCGGGAGGATCGTGTCGCCCCGGGCCTTCATCTCCTCGGCGTTCCTACAAAGGAAATCAGTTTTGAGATTGCAAGATCGAGTCATATCTTCAAAACCTTGGGCATCCTTAGAAGCAAACAGTCGAAACTCGCAGAAGAGTGAGAGCAGAAGCTTGAAGAGGGTTGTAGGGAAAACGAGCCAGGGCATGATAAGAAAGATTGTGACAGACCATCCCGGACTCAAGATAGTGAAGATATTAGGATTTCATTGCATTGGCTTGTGGCGTGCACAAAAAAAGCCCCCCTGGCCAAGCACGAGTCCTTGAAAGTGCGCTTTATCAGCCACCTCGGACCACCGTCAGCAGGGATACAAGACGCGGAACCTCATAGAAAGACTGCACTGACATAAAAACTTGAAGACAATTTGTAGACTTGTCTAGAAACACACAGATTGGAGAAGCGCAAAAAACCGCGCATCCTTACTCAATCATGTCCCGGTACGTCTGCTCCATTTCCGCCACCTCCGATTCCGCCAGCGGCTTCCTGAGGTACGGCACCGGAAGCCCCTCGTCCGCACGTAAGCCCTCCTCTAGATCCTCACGGATCTTTTGGATCGTCACCCCGATGTCCCGATAGTCCTGCTCGCTCAGGGGCTGGCCTGCGGGGCGATCGCCGGCGGGGCGCAAACCTGCATAAAAATCAAACAGAATCAAATAAGCATTCACTAATATTCCGACATCAACATTGCTGACTGTCTCAATCGTCACCGCAACATCGCGATGGTCCTGCTCGCTCGAAGGCTGCCCCCACCTGTCGCCCGGGGTGCGGGGCACACAAAGCTGTACTGAAGATCTTTGAAAGGAAGAAAATCTCTAACTTCAAGATAACCGACAATGTCAGGTGCGCATAAAATTCTGGTCCGTGTATGATTCTTCTAGATCGCTTTTGCGAACCCCGGTGATCCTGTTTATTCAGTGGCTGGCCCGCCTGGTCGCCTGCAAGAGGCAAACCTAAACGGAAAATGAGATACAGATGTGAATCTGAAGTTACTCTCAAAAACGCCAGATTTTCAACGCTTACATGTCCAAAGAGGCACCGTATTTCTTGCAAGCGCATGGTCGAAGCACACTCCAACTCCGCTGCCCCGTCCCCACCTCGACCATTTGTTTTCTCAAAGCGCTTGAAATTTGAAGAGAAGAACCACCTCTCGATCCGGCAACTTGGAATCCTGTTCATATTCCGAACCCCAAGATTCCCGCAACCCCTGCGAATCTTAAGACCCCTTTTGGAAAAAACCATGCATCAATCAAACGCATCCTCACTCACCCAAGCTCCTCTCAAAGTCCGCAAACTCCTCCTCAATCTGGTCCTCGAACGCCTCGATGACGCGCTCCCCCTCTTCCAGCATCCGCTCCGCTTCAGGGTCGCGGCCAAACCGGTTAAGCCGGTCCTGCCAGACGGAGGGCCGTCCGTTCTGCATCGGACGGCTCGGGTTTGATCAGATCAACGTGACCGGATGGGGATACCAGCAGATGCTGCTGTCTGCCACCCAGGCTGATTAGTGGGCCATTCTCTTAATCAGCAAAAATAACATGTAATGAAACAAAGGCCCAAAAACGGAAAAGCGGAGAGGCTTGAGGGGGCGGCAGTCCCCCCGGTTTAAAGGTGAAAAGGGGGTCGGAACAAGGAACCGTTTGCGTCTGAGCAGCTTCAGTCGCTATTGGACCACCGTAAGAATCCATGTTTAAAGGAATCGGACGGCTTGCTCCGTCGAGATTGCTAACAACTCAAACCAAGGCTAACTCTTGGAAGTAGGTACTGCTTACGTCTTTTCTGCTGTTGCTCCAGGTGCTGCTGAACCGTCTAATGCATCTTTGTAGTTGACTCAAAGTCCAAGAATCGGAAGCTGAAGGAAACCGCTACTTCCGCAGCATGACATAAAAACGCTCGCGCATCAAGCCCTTCCTGCTGCGCCGTACAGGCACAATTTTACAATCATTCCCGCTTCTGCCACAACCTCTTCGAACTCCGTACACTTTCATAATCTTCGACAGTCTGATCGTAAAGTCCCAGGTCTCATCACACTTGCTCCGCCACCCTGACTCTTCTCGTCCTTTGCATTCGTTTCCGGTTCTGCTTTTGCTCCTTTGATCTGAACCTGCCAATCGTCAATCTTATAAAAGTGTGCGTTTAGCCGTGAGGACCAAGTTCTGTCTCACCTGCTCTGCCGACCTGCGCTCCCCCACCCACGCCTCCTGACTGCCTTAAAATCGGTTTCCGTTTCTGCTTTTGCTTCTTTTACTTGAATCCGCAAATTGCACTCTTGGAAACAAAGTGTGCTTTCAATCGTGAGGTTTTAAAGTCTCACCTGCTCTGCCGACCTGCGCTCCGCCGCCCACGCCTCCTGGTTCCTGCGGTACTCGTCCTTCTTCTCCTCCAGCTCCTGCCGCATCTGCTCCGCCTGCCCGTACATCTGCAACGAAGTGACGTCAGCAGGACGTCAGCGACTAGGTGAGGTCAGTGCTCGACGTTCTGCGGCTGATTGCAGTCAGGCTGCCAAACGTTCTACTTCTTGCTTACTTTCCTGGAATGAGCGAGTCTGATCTATCCCCACTTCGTCTCAGCAGGAGCTTCTGCTCGGCAATGCATTGGTGTGCGCATCTACTAGCCGCTCTGCTAAAAGCAGACAAAGCCTATTTACTAATGATGTGGGCAGTCTGTCTCGGTATGCCCCCCTCTCCGACTCAACAGCAGCCCCTGCTCAGCAAAGCTTACGCCTTATGCAGGGGGTCAACTACGCACCAGTAACCGACCCGACTATCGTTTCAAGGGCCAGAAATCCGCCATAGCCTTCAGCCTTGTCGAGCCTCAACCTTGATCAGAGGCTGCTTACATTCAGGCTTTTAAGCACCCTGTAACACATAGTTAGGGGGCCAGCTTGTACCCTTAAAACCACCCCCCCGGTTTCAACTCACCAGCAGCTTCTGCTCCGCGATCTTTTGTCGCAGCTCCTCCTCGCTCTCCACGTCATCGAACACGCCCGGCTGCAGCGGGAGGTCAGGGAAACGTGGCAGGTCGCCCATTCGCCACGTGGCCTCCAGCATGGCTTCCTGACTCTTGTAGCTCGCCTCCTGGAGCGTCCGCCCGATGAACGCCTGGAGCTCGGAAGGGGTGGGGGCCGGCGCGTCGGGGGTCTTAGGGACCACTTCGTCGTTTACTAGGGTGTACTCGCCAGCATCCTGCCAAAAACAAAAACACCAAATTTCTTTTCAGCTGTTATGATCAGTCCGTAATCTGGCGCGTCGGGAGACTTGGGGACCACTTCGTCGTTCACTAGGGTGTACTCGCCAGCATCCTGCCAAAAAGGAAAGACCAATCATAAGATCATTAGTTATGTTCAGTTCGTAATCTGGCATGTGGGAAGTCTTGGGGACTACTTGGTTGTTCACTAGGTGTACTCGCCGGTTTCCTGCAAAGAGTCCAAGTCTTCCTTAAGCTCCCAATAAACGTCTCATAATTTTGCGTGTCAGGAGCCTTCGGGATCGTTCACTGGTGTGGAGTCGCCCTTATTTACGATATCTCCAAGTCTGGCTCGTTTTCCTGATGTCTAGCTGAAGCCGAAGAAGTTGTTGGGTAACGGCCAGAGCCGGGGGTCAAAGGGGTCAGGGCCGGCGTGTCAAGAGTTTCTGGGAACACGCAGGTTATTAGTCGGGGTAAACTCGGCCGCTTTCTTTTGACACACATCCCACTGGCTTGTCTAGCTGAAGCCACACATAATGTTCCAAGACCTAGGAGTTTAGGAGGTCTCAGAGTTGTTGTCTCTCACGTAAGAATGTTTGTCAAGCGCAGCCAGAGACTCACGAACCCATCAGATCAAAGTTGGCCCCTAAAACACACTCCACTTTACGGAGCCATATAGCGCAAGGACCGGAACCGGATTCAGGAGAAAAACTACAGGCTATTCGATCGTCGATGAAAGTACCTGTACTCGAGCATTTCCACCGGTTTCGTAGATCCCCAGAACTAAGCAATTGAATGAGCAGTAGAACAGGACACACTAGCGCCTCACCTTGTCCAGCTTGTCGGACTCGCTCGTTACCCAGGCCCGGCAACGGCTCAACGTCTCCTCCAAAATACTCAGGGCTGTCGTCCGATCCTCCCCGTCCAGCCCAAGCACAAAGGTCTCCTTGTCACCGCCCAGAGCGTTTTCAAGGTCGATCATCCTGGGAGACAGATTTCGAGCCGTGGTCAGACTAGCAATCTTCGGCCATTATGCAAAATCGAGCTCATGCAGCCGACCAAAGAACTCGTCTTTTTTGCCATGAAACTTGAGCGTTGCCGGGGTCTGTGACCGACTCTTCTTCCTGTGGGACTCGACGCTCTTGTGCGACCCCGCAGCTGGAGAATCGAAAGCCGGCCATGACAAGTTCCCCTGCCTAGAAGCCTGGTGGATACGAAGGGGCTTTCTTTCAGCTACCTTTAAAGAGAGCATCCACCCAAGTACACTCGTGCATCCGAGTCCTGAGGAAAGAAATCATCCGAGGGCCCACATTCAATCTCGAATGTCTTCAGCAACCCAACGCACCACGTGAACAAGTATCTGGTCGCTTGACGGGAGCGACCCCCCCTCTAAGACCCCGCAGTGCTTTTCAAGGCCCGATGTTACAAAGCGTGTATCACATCGGGCATTGGGAGAGACTAGCCGACTTACTGGTCTCCCTTGAAGCTGTCCAGGAACTCCTTCCGCTCAGCAGTCGGCATCAACCGCGCAACAGTGTATACTGCCCCGAAGTAGTTCTCCACCGCTTTCCGCATCGTATCCAGACCCATCCGGAGCTCCGCGACCTTCTCAGAATCTTTTGGGGCGCCGTCAGCGGCTGATAGGTCCCCCTGTAGGACGACGAGGATGCTGAGTGGCCCATATAACACTTCCGCACTCAGACTGTCTTCCTCCGCTCCTAACACACGTAGTGTTTTGCCCAAAAAAGCAATTTTATTGTTCGCATTAAGATGCAAATATCATTTAAGAGTTCCGCACTGAGAACGTTTCCTGTGAAGCATAAGGAGCTGACGCTCTGCAGCCTTTTCTGACATCGTCACAGAGTGACCCAAAGCTTGGTCTCTTACTCGGACCACAGCATCACTTTAAAGGCACACTTCTTGAAGCCTCGTGAGAGAGTCTCTCACGTCTGACACATCGAAACGACGAACTTCGAAATGCAAGCCAACAAAGGTTGTCGAAAACCAGGATTTTTTTTTTGAACTGAAATAACCTTCTCGCAAGGCCACAATGACTGGACAAAAGTTGCCTCACATCATCTTCGTTATCATTGCAAGAGGTAATCAGCCAATAGAGAGAGGACCAGTCTACAGATTCCGACTGGAGCGACTCTTGCAAAGCCTGATCTCTGATAATTGGGTTCGGTAAGTGAAACATTCTTGTTGATCTTACTCTCTTACCTGTCCAGCCTCTTCTTCTGTTGGCTTCGCTACGCCATTCTCGGGCTCCCTCTGCGAAAACGAGCAATCATCAGCACCACCGCTGCAAACTCGCAGAGTAAACCAGATCTCTACACGTAGAGATCAGCTACCAACGAGTATCAATCCTCAATGACTTTTCAAACTACCAAACACCTCGTTGAGCTTCTGTCAAGAATCAATGCTACCACTGCAGGTCACTAGCTCGCTGAAGACAAGAAGAACTTGGTAGATCAGGAAGTAACATGAAGGGCATTGACAGTCTCCTAATAGGGGACCACCACCCAAAATCCAACTATTTTGCAGCTGATCATCTTTGAAAGTGTTTCAAGCTTCAACGTGCAGTTTGAGGTCAGCCCTTTTTGAGTCTAAACTCAGTTTACCGCGCTTAAAACGAAGCATCATGAAAGACAAGCTTCGAAAAGCGTGCTCAAAGCAAATACCAATTCCTGCAAGCTGCTGCGCAAAACCATAAAGTGTTTCTCCAATTTTGCAGCAGTGGCAGGTGAATCCACTTACCGTAATCATGGAGGATGAACATTTGTTACCACCACAGCAAGACTTAACTGCAGCCGACTGTCCAAAGGTAAACGGTAAGCCAACATGTGGAAAGGAAGGACTGCGGATGATGTACAATAACCCTAAATCCCTGAAACACAAATATGCCTCACCTGCGTAGCCCTCAGGCTGGCTTCCAGCTCAGCCTTCAGCTGCTCGTCCACTTCTTCATCGTCTTCCTCTTCCTCCTCTGCATACGCATCCTCATCGAAATCGTCGTCTACTTTCAAGCTCGCCCGGCCGTTCTCGCTGTTCCCCTCAGAGTCTCTGACTGCCGTTGCAGCTGTTGAAGACTTTGGGCCGCCAGCCTCGCCGAGGCGCTCAAAGATTGTGCTTCCTACAGGAGGAGTGCTTTGTCATACTTGGGGGCATCATGATTCTTAAAACAACAAGCAAATCTGTTGAGTCGGGGGATAGGGCGCCTGATCAGGCATTTGGCGTTCAAGGCTATAATTGAAGAGTATGACAGAAGGGGAACCTTATAGAACATGAAGATGAATCCCCTGCATCAGACTAAGCTCTTGCTCTTGGCACATGAGCTTTCTCTGACGAAGTGGAGGGCTGATGGTGGTGGCTAACATGCTTCAGAACTAAAGCACAATTTGCGAGTTCAGTATTTGACATGTTCAGAACCCTAGAACTAGAACAGTCCTGGTCGTTAGTGTCATTCTTGCACCTTCAGTCAGTGCCGGTGGTTATACCATCTTCATTTACAATTGCCAGGCACTGACTTCAGATAGAAACAGTTCCTTCAAGGGTAAGTCAGCATAACATCAGAGATGCGTCAGCAGCCACCATCAGAGGGAAATGAATAAATATGACTTTAAAAATAAAGCTGAGATGGTATCTGCAAGAAAGAGGGGGACGATGCAAGGGTGGTGGTTTTGAATATAGGTCATCCTTTTGACCAAACCAGTAAGTCGCAGCAATAGCGCAAGGCATTCATTAACATTAAGTGCAAAAGTGCGAGTTCTCTGTTGGGTGCAGGTGATTTGACATCACTACACCTTCAACGGCCAAAGGAGTGATGTACAAGAAAAGTTGAACCTTCTATCACAAAACTGGTCAAATCAAAATGGGCACCAAAGATCCTGTGTGACGCATTTGGCTCACAGTTGAGAGGTAGTGTTGATTGGAAAATATCCATTCCCTGGGAAGAAACATCTTAGGTTAAAAATAGTCTCCCACTAGCGGACATAGCAGGTTTTGAATTCAAAGAGAGGGGCATCATTCCATCAGCTTCCATGAGTCATATCTCTCATAAATCAACGGGCTGTCAATTGGCAGCGAGGTCAGTGGTAGTCATCTACGGGGGTCCAGCAGAGAAGCCCACTCCTCAAAATGGCTTTGAACCTCAGAGGACATAGTCAAGGTTCAAGTAGCTGTTTCTCATATTAACCTCACACTGATAGGAGGAATTGTGTGCATTGAAGTTCCACACATTAAAATTATGCGTTGAGACGCAGGACCACCAAGCAAACAAGCTACTTTGCATAATGTTTGCACGAAAACAAGCGACAATTGGCGGAGCAGCTAAAACAGCGCACACCATTACCAACAAGCGATCTCAAACAATTATCAAGTAGAACAGTAAGGTCCTCACCTGACGAGCCTGTCCCGCCAGTTTTGGACTCTCCTTTGAGGCCATGCAACCACTTGGCCCCAACTCGGACCTCACGTTTCCTTGGCTTGCTGAGGCGCACTCCTCGGGCAGGCAAACCCCCGAATGTCACATCCTCATCGAATACCCAAGGCAGACTATTACTAGCCTGAATGAGATTTGGCTGTCTAGGAAGCTTTCCTACTTTGGCACATGTCGGTCGCGGCAGGGGGCTGCCATACCACTCCTTCCCGAAGTGAGGAGGTGCCCCCCCTGTGAATAGACCGGTTTGGAAAGTGCTGCCAACCGCGTGTGCCAAAGAAAGGGCCATGCCTGTTGAAATCTCTGACAAACTCGAAGGTAACTTACAATGCAGCCCTTCTTAGTCCAAACAACCATGCCACTTGGCAGAGCTCGGCTAATTTCCTTCGTCACCACTACCTAGCGCCCTAGATTGCCAGGAGATCGCCCCTGCAGCAATGCTGGCGCAGCAGGAAGTGGGAAAGCGGAATTGAGGAACCCGCGAGGCTGATGAACAGGAATCAGAACAGTCTGGCTCCATCATAGACTCTAGACTCTAGAGTCTAGCCTTAGGATTACCATTACCGTGCACGATATTTTGAGCAAAATGGCTCTCTACGCCGTCCATCTGTTTTCACAATCCTCAATCGACGTTTCTAGGTCTGGGTTATAAAAATGCAGGTACCGTCGGATTGCCTTTTCCCGGAGCCATCGAACGGTCTGATCGGGTTTAAATATGACCTGCAGAGCGAACAATAGACGCCGCTCCTAGTTCGCAGCTTTGCTGACTCATGTTGGGAGGGACAAGCTCAGCTGCCAGCTGGGTGGAACTTTTCGAAGATGCCAATGGCGTCTCTCTGTGTGTCTCCTCCTTGCAGGAGCGCTTTTGCAGCACTTGAAGGTGGGCAAAGCATCATATAAGCTGAGCAGCTCAGAAGCTCTCCCCGCAGGCGGTTGAGAACCCTCAATTGCTAGGAAGTGCAGCAATGCGGCTTTGAATTTTGAAGCAGGTGCCTAACGCAGCATTCTACGGTCTGCAATTGCCTGTCCCCCAAGAATTTGGCCTCTCGATACTTTAAATTCTAAACATCGCTTTGCTGATAGGCCCCGCCGCTGTGCAAAAGTGTTCAGTGGTGGGGACAAACTTTGAGAAGACAGTCTGAGTACCACCAGCATCAAGAGATCGTGAAGGAAAGTGACTGACGCCGTCGCTTCCCTCATGTTAGACACTTGCGAGACGGGCTTCTGCTGCGAAGCTCGCGAGGACTAGCTGGCTCTCAGTGACTTTTGATGGCAAGCCAGAAGGATACCTTGGACAAGGCGGTTGCATTCTTTCAAAAAAGAGACGGGGTTGACAAAGCACTGAAGATATGTAGGTACACATCAAAGCTGCTGCTCAAGACAGATGTTGTTGCTCCCAGCTCGCACTTGGCACAGAGGCTAGCGGAATTTGAAGGAAGCGTTGGAATCAGCAGAAAGGCATTCCGGCTAGGAAAGTTCCTGCAAGACTTGGACGCAGTAAGGAAGGGCCCAAAGTTGTCTACCAGGGATGGACTTCTTCATCTCATTGCCAATGGGTTTGAGGGCGCATACTACTTCACCGAGCAAGGCATCTGGCTGGTAAGGACATTTGGATTCATGAGTTTTTAGTCACTTGTCAACAACGGTGTATTTTTTGGGCCCTTGAGCTTCTGAGATCCAGATTGTGTTAATGTAGATGAACGCCTTGCCAATCTTAGCGCATACGAAAACATGCTATCAACCTCTTGAAAGACATTCACTCTCCTTCATCCATTGGGGCCTTGTTCATACTTGATACCAGGCTTCATAGAAACCTGCTGGGTTTGTAAAATCCTCTTAGAAATTGAACAAGCATGCAGATTACTCAAGCTGAGCTGAAATTGTGCATTTCCAGTCGAGTGAAAGTGGATTTTGAAGCCAGTAGAATCAGTCTGACAACTTAAGAAGAAAGCTAAGCCTTGATTAATTTGCCATTTGCAGGCCAAAGCAGGACTGATTGACAAGAGGCACTGCGCGCCCTTAACAAAGATCAGTGCGTGGACCGAGTTCTTTGGCTACTTTGGGAGTGTTTCTCTCAGCTTGTTGGCCATCTCATCAACGTACAGACGAGAAGCGGAGTTGATCAACGAGCTTCGTGCACAAGGAAAGACAACGGTGGGCGATGGAAGTGAGGACGATGTTCGATTGAAAGAGCTTGCACAACTGCGAGCTAAGCGACTCTTGAAGATGATAGCAGTCGCCCAGGATGCAGCAGATGCACTGCTCGCCCTAGATGACATGATGGAACGGAAAAGCGTGCTTAAGAACCCGGCCCTTTTGGCTCTGGCCGGCCTGTTGTCGGCTCTCATAGGCGCCTACAAATGCTGGCCAACTTAGCTGAAAACGACTGAGCCACTTGATTGGGTTCAAAGCTTTAAATTGCGAACTAGAGCATGCTATGAACTTCGAGATTGACTTGTAATTAGATGAGGGTAAAATAGTTCTCTTAAAAGCAGTGTTTCAAGTGCTTTCTTCTTAAAAGCCCCGGGCCCGTGTCCAAACCAAAGCAATGGTGGTGATCCATTACGAAGTCACATAAATCACTCAGTGACTCGATCAGTGACGATCCAGAACGTCGGATCTGCTCAGAGCTGGCCCTGACTCAGTAAAGTAGGTATGTACCGTCTGGCACATGCGTCATGCTGGCGTACAGCCCCAAATATACTCCGTCCTGTCATGGCGGCACATGCTTACATGTTGCGACCACATGGACCAAAACAAAGATTAGTTGTAGGTCTGTAAACAGGCTTGTTGCGATCATAATTGTAACGATCGGAATTTGCTTCTAGAATGTATTTGCCGCCATATACGCACGGTGCATCCAAAACCTCGACTGACATGCCGCGGCCATGCATGGGACTCCGGTTAACATGGCCGCGAGATGACGCGCGTGCAATTGGGTCACTAATTGCGAACGGCGCCTGGCCCATTCGCAGCCCGAAACATATATGCGCGCCGTTCATTACTATAAGTGCAATTGCTATAAATATGCACACATACGTTACCAGCCAGCATGTTCAATGTATATTTGATATTGATCCGGCATAAAAAGTTCGGATGCACCCGGGCGGCCTTGGTCGAATCATGCTATCCGATCACACCTCAATGAACAAACGTCCGGTCGCCGCCGAAGCAGCCCACTTGTTGGTCAAGGCTTCCGATCGAGTTCACTCCGACTTGAATGTCGAACTCAATAATCATTGAATGATAAGTAACACTTGTCGAGAGAATCAGCGTTGATGAATAGGTCTCGACACATGACGTGTGTCGGCGGTTGCATACGGAAAACTCGAATTACCAATGTATATGTACTCGTTCAGCACGTGATGATGAGTGATCATCAGTGATTGGATCGATTATCTGCCTGCCTCCCTGCGGCGACCAGAGCAGCCGGCCAGAAGTGAAATTTAAGGCCGCAAGTAGATTCAGCCGTGATACGCAACCTGGTAACGTTGCTGGTCGAGCAACTTGCGACACCGAATAAAAGGTGAACAACTGCGACCGGGACCCTCGAGAAATAGCAGTTAATGTATAACGAATCGACGAAGCTACTCGTCGTCTTTGTAAGGAAGCTCTTCGGGCACCGTCTCTATTAGCCTCATTCGAATCTCATATACGTCGTCCCCTTTCAGCATATCCTTGACGATCCTCACCTCTGTTCGCATTGAGATCTGCAGAAAAACAAACCACCTTGCATTCTCAAGAATCAAGGACCTCTTAGGAGAAATCCTCTGACCAATGATGCGGAACGAAACCACATCGACCGAGAAGCTGAGAGGGCTGAATAATCTCAATTCAACTCTCGGGGCCAATACTTTTTGTGGTCCTTGCAACGATACGGTTGACATGCTCGACCAGAAAAGAGGGAACCCTTATCTGCGGACTTCTGGAAACACCAAATGCAAGTAACGTAGGCCAACAGACGAGTCAGGCCAAAGGCGAACGTTGGAAAACATCCAGCTCGTAGCCTTTTCGCAGGTGAGACAGTCGAAAAGAAAGTTGGCGCTTCACAAACCCTCCGGAGAGACGCCGTCGTATAGAGGCCGGAAAGACGCCGTCGTATAGAGTCCGGAAAGACGCCGTTGTATAGAGTATTGACGGAACACGGGAAACAGCTTCAACACAGAGATCGGCGACCTGAGCGCACCACAAAGCGAAACAGACATGTAATCTTTCTGATCGTGAAGTGTTGAGGGCTTACCATTTCCAACGCCCCCCTTAAGACCCCGCACAGTATGCTGCAGTACGAGAGGCCTTGGCAGGTGTCGGGCAGCTCGACGAAGTCGACCAGCGGATTGTCGTCCATCAGAAGGCTGCACTCCTTCCCGTCTGGGCTCCAGTTGGCGACCGTGGGAGAGACTCCGAGAAACATCTTGAACCCGACCTGCGAAGAGCAGAATGTTCAACGGTCAACACCCATTGTGGACAGAGAGTTTATCCTTGTCTTAGAGTCTCTTTTGTCTCTTTCAGTTGACCGCGACCACGAAGTATGTGGCTGAGGCAAGGAAGAGGGAGGCCTTAATCTTCACCGGCGAACGAAGGTCGGCCTTGGTATGTGGACTAACCGTTGGAAATTGATGAATACCTCCTATATCGGAGGGAATTGTCAGTGATTCCTCCACAAGACCTTTTAGCGGACATTTCCCTTTCTTTTTGTCTTAAAACACTTTCCCTCTCGCAATGAAAGTGGCCGAATCTGTCAACTCGGTGAGCAACGAAATTTGGGAAATGAGGATGAGCAGTACAGCCGTTGGTCCATCTGTAAGGGACTTCGACTTTCATTTTTCAGAAGAGTATCTTTTCCTGATGCTGATTCTTGCCAGGATTGGCTTGACGAATTCTCCTAGATACCTGGAATATGCAACTTCTGTTCGTCACAGATTGACCAATCCACCAATCTGACGTGTTGACACATAGGGGTCAGCGGCTCTTAAAAAGACTCTGACAAGATTCTAAGAGAGCTTGTTTCGAGTCTACCGATTCAGGGCCCGCCCGCTGGCCCGTTGACAGGTCGCTCATTTTCATAGGCACCAGTCCTGGAAACTATAATTCAGACAAACGGCAAGTAGTCTCCAAAGGAAATTCGAGCCAGGCTTTGAACTGAGGCCGGATTCAAAAAGGTCATACATCCATCGTGCAGTTCGCCAACTTACCCTTTAGCTATGATTGATGCTCGATTTGACTAGCAACACTCACAATTGCAAATCAAGTTGGTGCCTCTGCTAAACATTCATAAGTCATTTGGTTGACAATCTTGGTCAGAGCTCACCTTAGCAATGACATCAGCTGTTTCCCTGAAGTCGGCGCACTTCGCAGAGTTTGATTTGGCGAGGAACTCATCAATCAATCGGATGCCAATATTGTAGCCCCTGCAGACAACCAGAAAATTCCGTCTTCAGTTTGTACAATTATATGACTTAGTCTTTATCAAATATGGCCAGGTCCACGAGAGTAAGCAGCAAATGTCAAGATAATATGTAATGGGTGGAAAGAAGGGACGAGTCGCTTCCACGGTCACCTCTGGGTTTGCGGTCGATCATACAGTTCAGAAGATCTCCCTCTGTGGGATTCAAGTAACCAGATTGCTTGACCAAACTTAAATCAAGTCTTCGGGCACAGCTTGATAGTAGGTCAACAGGCAAAAATAATCATAATCGAGGCCAGCCGAAAAAACTTTGATATGAGTTGGCGCTGTCCTTCTTCACCGGTTTTCGAATGGTGATGAGAGTCGGGCAAAGACTATGATTAAAACTAAGCTGTCTGAGTGAAGCCCAAGTCCCAAGCCCAAGTCCTTTGAAAATTATCCAGGGGGCTCAGACAAAACTTCCACAGCTCTAAGCCCCGACCACTCAGGGCTGCCGACAAATTTCATGGAGCAGGGACCACTCTATGAACTCTTACATGCTGTCTAGCTGCTTGTTGACATCATCCACATCCTCGTGGTCTGTCAGCAGCTGCCGTACAACTGCCCCATATGTGAGAGTGAAGAGCTCCGCATTCTGCAAACGAAGATTCTGGCTGATCAATCAATGTTAAAAAACTTTGATGAGCAGACATTCTTGTAAGGGATGACACATGGGCAAACAAGAAGCGAAGAATGAAAGAAGAGATTTATGGCAAGCTATGGTATCTGATGAGTTTCAGGAAGAAGATCACAACATGTAAAGTGTTGTACTCCTCTAACATCACAGGTCCCAACTTAGTTGTGGTAGCCAAAACTAAGTTGAGCCAGCCAATGCAGACGGTGCATTCGGTTGAGCACTGCTCGTAGTTTTCGCTGGCGGACTCACCACCTTCTCCACGTTTGCAAACGCCGCATCCCCAGGCCTGAGAGCTGCTTTCATTGTTGCGGGCTTTCCTGAAGCCTAGTTTTTCCCAACACCAGCTGCACCGCACAGAAGCTCCTACATATTCTGTCAGCAGGTGGCTGCCAATTCTAGTCACTGGCTTTCATCGATTGAGCGCCCCTGCTTCGCGAAGGTCTGATGGGCTTGCAGCCAACGGAAGAATCACAATTGCTCCTCCCTGTGTCCCCTGATCATGCTCTCGTCACTTTTCACTGTTCCGCCTGGAGAGCTGAGCCAGACCCATGGACATGGAACTTTGGAAGTGTTGGCACTCTTGCAGCCTGCTCCAGCCTCTCGAGTCTTGCCCCTCTGCAATGGCAACCAATTCTGATCTTAGAAATTTTAACCAATCTGGTCAAAATTGCCATGCGACGGGCGACGTTTGACATCGACGTCGAAGACTAGAACCTTATTTGGACTGCTTGTACTGCAAACTACCATCCGGAGTGACTTTTCGATGAAAGGGCGGAACGTTACAGTTTGTCTCATGAGCCACCAGAATTTGGGCAGATTGGCTAATATATTACATATCTTCGGTTTCAACAAAGAGAGAAAGCGAGCTGGCTGCAGTAAAGAAACGGAGGAGAAAGGATACTTCATTTGCTAGGGCGCCATTGCAGTTCCCTTCAGGCTGCATCTACCCCTCAACCGGAGCGCCCGCTTCTGAGCGAGCTTGAGGAGAGTCCCTTGCCCAGGATCTTTCTTTCCAAGCCCCCAGCGCTTCAAAGACAGGCCCGTTTATGAGGTGAGCGCTCTATGCCCTTCCTTGCGTTCGGTGCCAGAGAGGGCTAATTGACATTGTCAGGCATTGATGTCGAGGTCATAAGATGTCTCGCCGTTATGATGTTCTAGGCTGAACTGCATCCAATAAAAAGACGTGATCATTTGTCTCTCTCCATTGCGCTTTGGAGCATTCTTAAGGCACTCCCTCCATCCAGACCTTTGATGCTCCTCTATCCCTGCATGCAGCTCGAAGGAGAGACCCACGCTTGGGTAAGTGCTCAGTCTCTGACCTTGTATGTGCATTTCCCATCTTTTAGGCCTTACCATAGATATGTTGTAGCTAGTTGTCTAGAATGCAGTCACGTTGTTGAATGGCAACAAGCCTGTTCTTAATAGCAAAGATACTCAAAACAGTAAGTGCGCATTTAGTACTCTGCTTCTTTTGACGACCACTCTTGCTTGACTCGGCTCTTGCAGTGGCGCGCGGATCAAGACCCGCAAGCGGAACATCGCAGTTCCGAATGACCCCTCTGGGTTTGCGGACAATGTCATTCAGTTCTTTAGGGACAAGGACGGTGACTTGGTGAGTTTGCGGGACGGCTGCTCATTTTGTGGACCCATGGTTTTGAGTGGACATTGTTGTTGATTGCAAGCATGGGCGACTCGCAGAATGTGGGTTCTAGGGTTTTGCAATGACCGCAGGACCGCTTGGATAGGTAGTTCTGTCATTATTCGCAGAGGGGATGCTCCCCTCCAGCTTACGTCCCACAAACCCTAGAATTGCGTTGTGTCGCAAGTGCATTGTCCTGAGTTCCTCTCTTGCTCGCCTCCATCTATTAAAAATGCAGACAGATTCAGATAATTTGCTGCAGCAATCCGCTCAACAATCCAATTCCCGCCGCTGAATGCCATGTCTCCTGCAGGACGCTATCTCGAAGGTGATTGGAGAGGTCGACGACCTTGATTTTTCAAGGTATGGGGACACCTTGTTTGAGGTGATCTTCACGGGGCATGCGCTGCAGCCGGGGAGTGTGGTGCCGCTTGAAGATGCAAGTGACCAGCCCTGGAATGTGCTAGCGTGCGGTGAGATTCAAGCATCCGAGACCCTTTCATTTCAGTTTAGTGTTGGTTCATCGTTGGGTTTGGGGGACTCGTGGAATTGGATGGTGTTCCAAATCTAGTCTATTGATCTTTTGTGTTATTTATCCAAAAAGTCCTGATTCTTCACTTTCAAGTGGTGTTGCTGTATCCAGAGGTCATAGCCATTCCCAAATACCGCTCTACTGGCTCGGTGCAAACCCTTTAAAAGTTGCAGGTAGTAACATCACCAGGTGAGGTGTGCAGCATATCTTTGTCAGAAGAAGATTGTGAAGTCCTTCCTTTCATTTCCAGAAAGAGAGCACCTCAGCCGGTTTTTACTTTTGGCTTCTCAGCTGGTGGTTGGTGGTCACATAAAGTATGAGCAGCTACGGTCTGCGGCCCCTTGGAGTGACCATTACCATCTGTCCTTGAGTGGGTGTGGTTATCACATGGTCAAGGAGCCTGAGTGAGATTTGGAAGTTGTGGCTTGTACTTCTTCCAGACAGATCGCTGGTTGCTGAAGTAAAGTCAAGTTGGGAAGTTTATCGTAGTAGGACCTCACCTCCATGCTAGCAGAATTGCTATGCTTATCTCTCCTCTCTGCCAATATGTTTCCTCATGTTTCAGGCACCAAAATGGTCCCAGGATCGTGTTCATGGGACTCACCTAGTAGCACCCTTTTCTTCTCAAGCCAGATGGACTGAAGATGGCGCACCCCTCTCCTCACGAGTCCGCGCATTGAGCAACGTACCCTTTCACCAAGCATGACTGAGAGTACTGAGAGTACCTGTGAGATGCAGAGATCTTACGCCAGTTTTCCGAATTGCAGAGCCAACCAAGTCGGGCATCTTGGTGTACGTAAGCTTTGTGCAGAAGCTGATCCGGCGGCGGCCATTCCTGATCAAGAACCTGGAGAACAACCTCCAGAGGCTGCTGCAGTCGCTGGAGCACTATGGCCCGGAAGACCGCAAGAAGCTCGCCGTCTTCACGGCACTCACCTTCTCGCAGAAGCTGGGGGTGAGCACTCGTTTACACTCCCCGCCCCTCCCTTTTCAGAGAATCTTGTATGCTGACCGTTTCACACCTAATTGCGCTTCTGGGCGCTGGGGCTCAATTTCAAGCCTTTTGGCTGCAGTGTTGCTGTCAGTACCTCTTTCATGGAGAAATAGAGCAGCTGACGCCAGAGACTATCTTCGAGGGCCTTGAGAAAGGTTATCGAAGAAGTGCTGGTAACAAGCTGGTGCCAGTACAGTTGTATACATGCTGAACTTCTCCCTGTCTGCCGGTGTCGATCTGAGGGCCTTGAACAGGTTTTGAAAGATTGTTGGAATCAAGCTGGTGCCAGTGCCAACTTTATGAATGATTGGACAAACGCAGCCACTTTCAAACTTGGTTTACTAGTCTTATCTCTTCTAAGCAAGTCGCTCCCCCGTTGTTTGCAGCTGCCTCCAGAGACCATCTTCGAGGGCCTGCTCAAGGATGCCATCGTGCAGAAGGGGACCGTGCTGTCCTTCCTCACCGAGTTCTGCAAGGAGTACCTGGCGGACAACAAGTTTGAGGAGCTGGTCAGCCTGCTCAAGCGGGCCAAGGTGAGCGCGTGCAGAGATTCACGTTCCTTTCTTTCTTGATTACAGAACATTGTTTGTGGAGCAGAATCAAGTGTAAAGGAAAAAGATCAGGTAAGAGGAGCTGATTTGAAAGCAAGTTCAGTTTGGAGAGACTGGCTTATGAGATATGGTCAGCAGCCTGCTCGGTTGTGACAAGGTGAGCGCTGCGCGAAGGACCAGATTGCTCCTTTTCCATGTGGGAAAGTTGGAAGTTTCTGAGGATGTAGCAAGGGACCGTTTGAGAAGGAGAAAGAAGAAAGCGCTTTAGTAGTTGGTCAGCAGGCCAAGATGAACGTTTGCGCAGAGGGTCAGCAAGGCAACTTGTTTGCGGGCAAGTCAGAATTTTGGGACGCCGAGTTTGACCTACTGGGAAGGAGTTGAATGTCGAAATGCATGATTGTGGTGAGCTTTGGAGGGTCTGCCTTTCCTTTGGATTAGCCCGTTCCTTTCGAAGCTTCTACGTGGAAGTGTTCACGAACTCATAAATGGCAGTCGGCCCAGTCTTCACCCTCCGTAAATTATTCTGGTCGCTGTCTTCTGCATACCAGTTGCATATGATGCAAGTTCCGGCAGAAATCTGCAACGGGCCAGCGGTTCCGTCAGGTGCCATTTGATTCATCGAGCCTTCCTTGACAATCAGGATAGTTGAACAAAGTCGACGAGACTTAGAAGGGGATGTCGGAGGGAATCGCGGACGGGCGTATGTGTGAGGTTTTGGACGAAGTTCAGGTGTCCTGAAAGAGTCTCTCTCTCATTCCGTCTCACAGGTGGACGACCGGTTGCTGGAGTTCTTCCCCATGCAGAAGCGGACTGTGGAAGCGTTCAACGACCACTTCCACAAGGCCGGCCTGGTAAGCAGGACCGGCTTGTAGAAATCACTTCATGTTAAATTGCATCGGATTGTAGGCTCTGAAGTTCACCTCCGATCCCGTCCTACTCACTGTCTGCTTCAATCACTCTCAATTCACTGAAGAGTTTTTGGTTCTATCACCCTCACTTTGCTGAAGTGGTTCTGCTTCCATCACTTTCGCTATCCTGATGTTTTCCGGAAAAGCGATGCCCTGCTTCTTGCAAACGGTGATGTCTGCGGGCAAATGCATTGTTACTTAATATGTTTGAGACCCATCATCTTAGAGACAACCAAGAGTAACGAGGTACGTTCGAAACGGACTGGTTTTGGGTATCCAAACAAAGAGCCGTGTTTGCTGCTTCAGGACGTCCTGGTCGAGTACAACAACAAGAAGGTGTTTGACATCAAGCTGAGGGAGCTCAAGGCCACCGTGACGACAATGATCAGGTTCGCGCCCTTCGTACCACCGGTTCAGTCGCTTCGCATTTCCGCTGATTGTCTTAGAGATTGTCCACTCGCTGACTGAGAGTTTCGTGGTCCGTGCCATAGTCTGTTCTGCTTGACGAACTTTGTTGGTCCGCGACGTGAACGTGATGGTTGTGACCGTTTCGCTTCAGGTCACCATTTGACCTGAGCCCCCAAACACACGTCTGCGACTGTCTGTGATGCTTGACAGAGCTTTGGCTCCTTGACATGTTCTCTGCTGAAGGATGGGTTTTGATGGCCTTCACAAGCTGCTGAAACGGCCCTCGTTGGGATAAGAAAAGAATGTCGGATGTCTGCTGACGTTATCCTGACGCGCTCGTGTGGCAAGGCGGTTCCCGATGATGACGTAGTTGCATCTGCGGAGAGCTCGCAAATTTTTTGGGAACAGACAGCATTTGTCTGAGGCACGATGTCTGAAAATCTTCTGACGTCATGCTGACGCTTTTCTGCAGCGAGGAGGCCCCCGTGGACGACGTCATTGCGTTTGCCAAGAAGGAGAAGAAGGACTCGAGCCTGCCCGAGGTGGACGTGCTGCTGGACCTGTGGGACGCCATGATGGACGCCGTGCAGTGGAGCGGCAAGAACCAGCAGCAAAACACCAACCTCGCGCTCCGCCAGGTAGGTTCGGGTTTTATGTCTTATTTTGTACCTTTCGGATGCGTTCCTCTCGTATTCCTTCTTTTTTGCTCCGTTGGTGCTCTGCTGAGAGTTTCTCTTGAACTAAAAACCGGCAGCAAAAAGCGAACCTGACAGCGAACCTGACGCTTCGCCAGGCATTACTGGGTCGATGTGCTGCTTTGCTATGCGAGTCTCGTTCTTGATTTTGCCCTTAAACGCTTTGGCGGTTCTGCTAGATGTCTCGTGCTTTTATCCGCATTTTTCACGGCTCCCTATGAGGGGCGTACATACTTTGAAAAGCCCCTCGAGAGAGAGGATGAGTTGCGCGTTCTTTGCGTTTGATTCTTGCTTCAATGAGGAGACCGTCAGCAACGTCAGGTAGGGTCCCTTTTTGCACGTTCCCCTCTGGTTTTCGAATGACCTTCCCCGTTGGTGCAACCTGGGTATTCGTGGGGTACGATTGGTCTGTTTCCACAGATGGCCGTTTCAGTTTCACGCTGTTCCCGTCGGTGTGTCAGATGAGTCAAGAATCTTAAGAAGAATACCAACCTTGCGTTGCGGCAGGCGGCGTCGCTCTTCCTTTGGTTTTCAACTTGCTTGGGACTCGAGAAAGTCGCTTTCACGTCAGATTTGTCTTCTTACTCGCTTGTCATCCCGGGTCCATCCTTTCCCATGCTAGGAGAAGGGATGGGGCCAAGCTCCTGTGTGCTTTCTCCACCCCCTTGCTGGACGTCGATCTGACGCCTTGGCCCTCTCTACTTGTCACGAGTTTCCCCTCACCCCTTGTTCGTTTGTTGCCGCGCCAGGTGAGGGGTGGGACAAGCTCCTGGGTGCTTCGTCCACCGCTCACATCATATTCTCCCTCTGCTTGTCATGGGCTTATCCTCATCCCCTTTCTGATCGTTGCTGTGCCAGGTGAAGGGACGGGGCAAGCTCCTGGGCGCTTTCTCCACCACGAGCAAGGCGGAGTTTGCGCTCATCTACAAGGTCCAGGCCTGCTGCTACGAGGACGCCAAGCTCATGAAGCTCTTTGCCGAGGTGGGGCGGTTCACCTTATCCGGAGGAGATGTTTTTGTTTTTCCCTTCTCGTGATTGGTTCTGTCGTAGAGACGGATTTACGATGCTGTGACGCGCCAAGCTCATGAAGCTCTTCGCCGAGGTGGCTGCGGCTCACCTTGTTCTCAGGACGCCTGTAGCCTTCTTTAGTTTCCGTTTTCTAATTTGTTCTGTTCCAACGATGAGTCACGCTGCTATGAGGACGCCAAGCTCACGAAGCTCTTCGCTGAAGCGGGGCTGCTCACGTAGAATCTCAAAAAACGCGTTTTCCTTTTCTCAAGTCAAGCTGATCAATAGAGGGACCATGGTGCCGTTAGGCAAACCAAGCTTAGGAGCTTATCCCCGAAATAGGCTGCTCACCTACGCTTTCAGCCCTTTCGGAGGGAGGTACTGTCCATTTTTCTGCGTTTCTTCACTTTGTGGGAGAAATCATTGGGGTTCTGGGAGAAGTACTGCTGACAAGCGCTGATATCCGGTGGAGGTCGACGAGCGTTCAATAAGCAGATGTTTGGTCGTTGTCCGCTGGAGCTCATAGCTTCTGGCAGCTTCTTTTGTGTTAAAAGGCATTGTGTTGATGTCTCGGTCCTGCAAAGTTCAAAAACCATTCGCCTTTGCAATAGTGCATACTCTTGACGACCTGGGCTTCCCTACATCAAGCTTGTGGTTCACCGAGACTGTTTTTTAACTGGACCTGATTCACTTTCCTTTGCAGATTGTGCGTATCCTGTACGACTTGGACGTGCTGGGCGAGGACACCATCTTGACCTGGTATCGCAAGGGGACTAACCCCAAGGGCAGGCAGGTGTTTGTGAAGGCCCTGGAGCCGTTTGTCAAGTGGCTGGAGGAAGCCGAGGAGGAAGACGACGAGTAAATGTATCGAATTTGCCGTGACGATGCTCGATGCTGTTTTGTTTTCGACCGAAGGGGTTTTGAGCTGTATCGCTTATATTTCATGAAGTCCAAAGAGCTATATAAGGTGCAATATGAGGTGCACTGCGCTCTAACAGAAATCGGGCCGTCTGCATCTTCCAGCCACTATTATATGTTTAAGTGACACTTTCTTCGAATGCTCGGAGTTCTACTGTGCGCTAGCTTCCAGCTTGTTGGAAGGCGTTGAGCGCTATCAGCTTTCATAGGGATATCCTGACTGATATAACCCGAGCAAAGAGTGACCTTGTGCTGGCCATCGACAACCCTGAATTGTATTCGGCGGTTGGCCTGGAATGGCCGGAGGCGCACACGAATTCAGTCAGGCAATTCCGCCCGGATAATAGCGGATAGCGGATCGATGATAGCGGCCCGGCCATTCTGTCAGGTGATCTGGTATTTAGTAGTGCATGTAGTCTAGCATGATGGTTGATCGATGGTTTCATACCTACAGTATCATGTGTTGCTATTAAAAGGGGCACTTCTTTAGCTCTAGTGATTATGTTCAGGTAGACGATACAGCACCCCGACTTGGCCTATGTACTTGATTTGCCTTTGATATTACTCGGAGAGTGTGGGCCCCTGCCAGACCCCTCCGTCTGCCCACGCAATCTGTTTTTGCCACTAGCGCTCTCAGATCATGGCGTGGGGCGAGTGGGCCCTAGCCAACCCCTCTCCACGCCCATCTCGTCTGCCTCATCTGTAAGTACATCCGCACAAATATATATGTTGTGTGTGTTGTCGGTACCTTTTCGACTCCTTCCTTGAGCTAAGATTCCCTAAGCTTTCAAGTACGGGGCATGAGGTTTTAACGGCCGGCATGATGCGCAGATCATGTATACTGCGTGTGTGTTGCATCCTACTTGGTTTCGCTTATCTTTTTTTCTAGGTACTGTTGCGGCAACGCGAGGATATGAACAAAGCTTACTAAGGTTTTGCCATAGGAACAAGCACTATCGAGAAAGAATCATGTGATAAGCTTACGGTACTCGTTCTAAGCCTCACTGTCGGAGTCACGCTCGGTAGCTGAGTGAATGACGTTTCTTTAGAAGTTGCAATTAAAACATCATACACACTCAATATGTATGCCATGAGAAGCCTTAGTATGGCCCATGTGGCTACCGTACGGCGTGTAGAAGAGAACATCATTAGACTTGTAGGTGAGTGCTTTAACTTAGTTAAACGAGAAAATAATTTTGTCAATGAGGGTTTAAATTACGAGTCTTTCTACTTCATGTACGCTCTTGCATTTCTAAAGTTCGATCAGATCTGGCCGCTATACTGTTATATCGTAATCAATCAACTGGCAAATTGTCTGCCTCCGACACTAACATCATAACTGAATGCAATTAAGTTACACAATGTGCCCAAGCTAGATGCGCGCATGAACGCGGAACTAAAGAGTAGACGAGACAATGGCCGGCGAATAGCTGCCGCGTTGGGCCATGGCGCATGTATGAGTCGAGTTTGCCAGCATTTGCGGCGCCGAGCTATAAGAGCGGTTCCACTAGCTCACTTTGCCATAGCTGCTACTGATGTATGCATTGGCATGCGGGCCATGATGCACTTCTTCGCAAATGTCGACTGCGTGCACTTCAAACGGCAATGACGGCCCGGCCATGGTACGTAAGAAGTTCTAACCAGAACAGACTTCATGTAATTAATAAGAACGTCAGGTATGCAGCCACTGCGTGTGCACTGAGTGCACCCGCAGCATGTATATGGGCGGGGCGGCCGGCTGCCGGCTGTACTGCTTCATGTGGATCCGATTCTGGTACGTGGCCCGGGCGGCAGTGACGTACGCACCTTAGTATGTCACGGTCAGCCTGAGTCGAAATCCTTTGTAAGCTTTTGAAAAGTTCGAACGGTCAGTGGCAACAAGTAGATATTTTCCAAAGCTCATAAATACATGCTAGACCGCCCTCAAAGGGCGGCGGGGGCTTAACAAGCCTCTTCGGCAGCAAACAGGAGGAAGGTAAGAAAATGGAGTTGCGTGATTCCGGTCAGGCGTAAAACTTTGCGCTAAGCAGAAATTTTGTCTAAATACTCATACGGGCCTCCTTTTGATTGACATGACAGACAACCATGTGCACCGTTGTACAATTCTGACAATTCATGCAATGGTTGAACGCTATGCTCTTGGCCGGATATATACATAGGCCGGCCGCATCCGGGCCTTTTGAGTTCCCGCTTTGGGCTTCAATACTTCTAGCTGCCGGACCTCGGACACATTGTAAGAGACCAGGCTTGCTTTGGACACATTATGAGCATCGCACAAGTTTTAGCTTGGAAACGAGGCCAGGCTCTTAATATCATTATGTAAACGGCCTCGCATGCTGTGTCATACATGAAGGTAGAACTTGACCTCTTCCAAGTTAGGCAGCAGATCGCATGGCATACATAACTCGTTGACAGGCGGAGTACTCTGAAAATGGGTATGCAAGCGCAGTTTGAAGGAGCATCAAGGACCAATGGTGGGTCACAGTTGACTTTTCTCGTCCGATTGGTTCTTACCCTCGTCCAATTCGTTCTTACCCTCGTCTGATTGGCGCTTACCCTCGTCCAATGGGCTCTTACCCTCGTCTGATCTCTTACTCTCTAAGTGGCTCTCTACTCCTTGGACAATCTTTAAAGCTTGTCCGCGGTTATGATTGGGGATAGCGCATCTTTGGCGGAAGCCGAAAGACTGTTGAAGTACTCTCCCCAAACCGACTTTCCGCACACCGCCACTGCTATCGAGCTTCACCACGGAATTAAACACAAAAGAACGTACAGAAGGAAGAGCGATCTTCTTAAAATCATCTCTCCGAACGTGATTTTGGCAGCTTGTTCCGCCTGTTCAGAGAAATCCCTTTAGCGGACTCGAAGCCCTCTTCCACGTTGCAACTGTTGATAGGAAAAGTATTCAAATTGGCCAGAGAGTGCTAAGAAGTATTGACCTTGGTTTAGCAAACAACATGTCGAGGCATGCGAACGCTAAACTATACTTGTGAATGTACTTGCTGACTCGTGAACAGCATAACTCAGGTCAGACTGGGCAAAGGCCACTCAACTGACTCGCAAATTTTCAGATTGCAGCTTAGGGGTGAAGCAAACAACTTCGGATTGAGAGTTCTTACCATCTCGAATTTAGCTGTCCATCGAGCCTCTGCCTTTGCAAGGTCCCTGCGGGTCGCGGTCTCGTCCATGTCGCCTTGCTTGGTGCCTTAAAGAAGGAAACATGGGTTTGTCACGAAATGCTCACTTTGCGGTGCGGAACGACCGGATGTGTGATCATTGTCTTCCTTTGAGATAATAAAACCTGCCGAATGCTGGAAAGCGGAACGTAAAGATACGCCATCAAGGAAGGAGCCACAAGCATGAAACCTTGATTACTCCTCCCTAGGCACAGCTCCCCAACTGCAATGATGATGAAACCAGCAAACTGCTTGCGCTGCCTTGTGCGCCCAGAATACATTATTATACCCTCTGTACGCACTTACTTATTACACAGAAAACGCCCTTTTGAATCACTTCCGCAGATTCCGGCCCGTAGCTCACACGGGCATCCTCAATACTCTGAAGGCGACCAGGTACACCGGCCACCTGCTCGGCCCCTCGGACCAGTTCCCCCGCTTGCCTGGGGCCTGCCACATCGACCATCTCAACATCCGGAATCACCAGCCGTATCTACAAGACAATATCCAGACCAAGATATTCAGAAACAAGACGACTCTGCGATGAAACTTGGAACACGTCACCCAGTGACTGAAAAAAGACATGTGCTCGTCAACGCCATTGACGGCAATAAAGATTGACTCTGCATTGAACATGTACATAGACCGCGCATATTCAACATCTAATGGTGCAGCCAACTGATAAACATGCACGCAAAGGTTTGAGGGTTTTTCAATCTGGTCAAAGGCTCGTTGCAACCTGAAGACACACTGCTTTCGTCTCTGTAAATGCAGAAGACTTGACAAGGTAATGAGCTCTGCAATGATTGATATGATACCCCATGGGATGCACTTGCCTCCGCTGTCGTGATGCCCTTCTTCTCCAGACCGGTCAACCAGCGCACATTGCCTAAACCCGACAGCACAAATCCTCTAAGCGTAGCCCAGAACCAGATGAAGGTCGCCACTGCAGCTGCCGTCATAATCACTGCCATCCATGCCAATGCATATCTCTGAGGTGAAACTAGAGGGGAGTCCGGAGGTACAGATACTGCCTGGCTTGCTACCACCTTAGGAGTCTGACTGATCTGGGGGCTGGAAGGGGATGGGCTGTGGGGCAGCTTAGGAAGGGGCAGCCGGATACTCTCTTTAAAGTGGATGATAGGCTTTTCTCGCGAAATCGAGGGATTCAGGTCCAGTATCTCATCAGGAGGAGTGTTGTTAGACCGTGCAATCGACGAGAGTGTGTCCCGCCACTGGACTATGTAGAGACCGTGACCAGATGATGAGGCATCCACGTCGTTGCGGTCTTCTGCATCAACATGAAGATGGCTTTTAGTGATCTTTCAGTGGTCACCTTTGCCATGACAAGAAGATATCCCTTTTTCAGAAGCGTCAGTGACCTCCACGTACCCTTCACGCATGTTCCTATCATTACATAAGACACCAAAGCCACACGTGCTCGCTCAATCGCTTCTTTTGAGGTGCAGAAGAAGCAATTGCCCCAGACTCCTAAGAACAGCCATAGAAGGGACGATCTCTTAGCACCGCTTGTCAAAGCTGACGTTTGCCAGAACTGCTGCTTTTGAAGCAGGCCGCACGGAAGCAGCCCCGGAGTGTAAGACAGAACCAGTCCTAGGCCTTCTGGTTGAAAGCGAGCCACTTAGACCACCTGTGGGGGCTGCTGCTACTCTCAGTGCCGTCGCTGCCATGTTCAAATTTGGACAGGCTGAATAGGCTTTCTGTGCGGCTCTCCTTGGTGTACCAACAGTGTTGCGTCCATTGATGCTGCAGTTCAGCGATGCTCCGCGAAGGGTGGGCACCAAGAGGAGGAGTCCGTTTCGTTATCTCTCCTCCTGCCAAGTTTTGGGCGCTGCAACGCCTGAGGCTGCAGCGCTGAGCCCTGCCACAAACTCAAACTAGAATCAAGCCTTGATGTGGCGGAAATTGGTATGCCATAAGCTGATTCGAATTGTGAGAGGCGTGAGGACATTGGCCCAGGTTCATTTCAGCATTGCGGAAGAAGATTTTTTACCGTACCAGCGTTTGATTTCGTCGGTCAGCGTGCCGAATAATTAGTTTCTAATCGATCTGACATTTCGGCAGAGTATTTTATAATTTTCTGACATTTCGTAAAAGTAGCATTCCTCTGCCAAATACAACCATTACCAGCCTTTACCGTCCGTACATATTATTCGATCTTTTCGTCATCGAAGAAAAACATATTCCAAAAATGTCGGGCAGCCCAAATAATTACTTAATTAAAAACGAAATCAAACGCTGGTACGGTACCGTAGTATGTGTGCCGTTGCAGTGACTTCACGGTGCTTCAGCAGTTATCCCGGGGCATGTGTGGCGCTGTGAAATGCCACCATGCAGTTGGTCAGGAGCCAATGTCCATCTTGGTGCTTTGAAAGATGTGGTTTAAAGCAGCAGATGCTGCTGATTTGGAGATGCACAGATGCGGCAGCTTACAGCGAAGCATCTCGCCTAGCAGCACTGGACTCAATGCTGCCTACAACATGCGGCTGCTGCTCAAAAGCAGATCTGCTGCCCGATAAAAGCCTCAGCATTGCATGTATTTTCTCATTTAGCCCTGTCCAGCTTCCATTCTTGCCAGCAAGCTTCAGCCTTGTTTTGAAGCAATACCATGGCGCCATCCTGCATTTCCAAATCATCCATCAGAGCAGCGTCTGCCAGCTCTTCTGCTACCACCCGCATCTCTGCGGACCTGGGCCGGGTGCAGGTTGCGCACCCCGCTCCACTCGGCTGCTACCGAAGCGCCAGCACATGGTCGCGGAGCTTGATCATAGCGCCTTTGGTTATCCAGCCCATGCGCTGAGACTCTTCAATGAGAAAACACTCGAGTATGACGAGCCCATCGCTTTCAAACGCTGCTCTTTGAACATGCTGAGAGCTCTTGAGCTGCAGCCTCCTGTTGTAGATGGTGCTGACAAGTTTGAAGGTTTCCTAAGATCATGGAGCTGAAGGACCTTTCCCTCATGAATGAGAAGGAGAGGGGTAGTTTGCGCGAGCCGCGCGTCAACGAGGTCTCTTACATATGCATCGGCTAATTGTGAAGAAAAAGGAGCAGGAGCGGAAGCGCGCCGTCAAAGCGGCCCGGCTTCGGAAAGTTCCCGACGAAGCAACGGTGAGCAACATCTCAGTGTTTGGAATCATTGCATTGTGTTTTCGCTGGCTCGATTGTTGGGCAGCTTATGTAAACACTGAGCTTCACACAGGCTGTCCAACTTTCTTTGAAGTTTCTCATGAGCATAGATGCTTTGACAAACCCGCTGCTTTTCTGCAGTCAATGTTTTCGGAGCTCTAGACATAAATAAAATCAACCTACAAGCAACGAACAATCGATTGAATTGCACGGCTGCTTTGCCGCGTCCTGATCTACTTCAAAAGCCTGGTTGCTTATGGTGCTGGTGGTTTGAAGACGTTGTTGTTCATCGATCTAACTTCCATCGAAAGTTGACCACCTGCAACTCGTCCTGACAGATCATTCTCTCAACCCCATATGCTACCTCAAGTTGCTACCATAATTTCAATCATACAGGTTCTTGCTTCCCGTCGTTGCAGGGCCTGGTTCGCGCGGCGCCGCCAACGTCCATCAGCCCAATCAGCGAGTTGAAGCCGCGGAGGCTTACCCGCGACCTGACAGCCAAGGCCCTCACCAAGTGGTACGTCGACCTCTCCTTCAAGCATATTCTTTCCGCGTGCACGTGTTTTTCTTGAATCTGTTATTGTCGTCATTATTTCATGTCAACCTGCATTACGAGATCAATCTCGACCACTCTTACCTGGTAACCTGATAGTTATAAGTCCATTCGCATTTCCTTGTCTCCAGGTTGATTGAAGGCATACATGTGGGCCCTAGACCTGCCCCCGCTCTGATGATAACCAATTATTCTGGACATCGGACATGCTGAAAACTTTAGTAATTTCCAGTTTCAAAGTGAGGCGATCAATCCTGGCAGCCAATGAGGGTCAACTTTGATTGACATGGCATGTGCAGGTTCGGAGGAGAGAAGCGTGGCAAGGTCCAGACCTGTCACAGCAGCCGCTAAAGAGAACGAAGGGGGCGCCCAAAGAAGATCAGGTGATCATTTTGACATACTGTTACCTGCAATGTTGCTTGCTGTGAGCTTCAGTCATGTTGGTATGATGCAAACGCAAGGACAGACCTATCTGTTCAGGTTTTTTTCTCCTTTCTCAAATCCTTCTTGGGAACACTCTGTCAAGCTTTGCATGGAGCTGGAAAACCTTAGTGCTCCTTGTGGCACAGAATGCAACTACACTCAGTGCACAGTGGACCCTCGAAGTGACAGCGAATGCTGTTGAAATGTAGATATTGCAGTCTCGCAAGTGGCTTCTTGACCATACTCGCCCGGCTTGAACGCCTGACCTGTTATCTACCAAGATGCTTCAATCATTCTTAAGCGTCTGGCCTTGCAGGTGACGTCATCTTCTCGCACTCCGCCCCGCGCCGTACTCCGGCCTCTGCCCGTGTGTACCAACGGCACGGTGGTCTTTGCCAACGGAAGGCCAGTGGCCGTCAGCCGTGCCGGCGCTGCCCCGTGCTGCCAGACTGTCCCGCCGTCTTCTGCCCCGGGAGAGGCCCTTGTCAAGCCCGAGGTAGTTGTAAGAGAGCCGGAGAGCAAGCCCGATTTCACCGATCGAAAAACACCAGCGGAGCTGAAGAAGCTGAAGGCAAGTTGACCCTTGATCTACGTCCGGTGGGATTTGTTTGGGAGCGATCGTCTGCCTTTTTTACACGGATCTAATTCTGCCTGGTCCAACCCTCCGTTGAGCTTTCCTAATCGTCATTCTCCTGGTTTTTACATCATCAACCTGCTTTGAAGGTCCCCGTCGCTTCTTTCTTCGGCTATTGCTACCTGGTTATTTGACGTTCCCAAAGAACCTCAGTCAAGGTTGCCATTACCTCTAACTCGTGACTCCCTGATGACCTGTACTTTGGCAAATTTCCTCATCTGCGTTGAAGTTTGTTGCACCAAACGGCTTGGTTTGGACCGAAGTAACGAACTGCTGTTCGCTGCTGCTTCAGGACGTCCTGGTCGAGTACAACAACAAGAAGGTGTTTGACATCAAGCTGAGGGAGCTGAAGGCCACCGTGACGACCACGATCAGGTACGCGCCCTGCGCACACCGGTTCAGCCGCTTTGCATTCCCGCTGATTGTCTTAGAAATTGTCCACTCGCTGAATGAGAGTTTCGTGGTCCTTGCCATAGTCTGTTCTGCTTGACGAACTTTGTTGGTCCGCGACGTGAATGTGATGGTTATGAGCGTTTCGCTCCATGTCAACATTTGTCTTCGCCCCCAAAGAAACGTCTGCGACTGTCTGTGATGCTTGACAGAGCTTCGGCTCCTTGACATGCTCTCCGCTGAAGGAAGGATCTTGATGGCCTTTACAAGCTGCTGAAACGGCCCCCGTCGGGATAAGGAAAGAGTGTCAGATGTCTGCCGACGTTACCCTGACGCGCTCTTGTGGCAGTGCGGTTTCCGATGATGACTTGGTTGCATCTGCAGAGGAAAGCGTGCAAGAGTTTTGGGAACAGACAGCATCCGTCTGAGGAAAGGAGAAGCCTAGCTGACTTTCGACAGATTGCTGACGTCATGCTGACGCTCCTTTGCAGCGAGGAGGCCCCCGTGGACGACGTCATCGCTTTTGCCAAGAAGGAGAAGAAGGACTCGAGCCTGCCCGAGGTGGACGTGCTACTGGACTTGTGGGACGCCATGATGGACGCCGTGCAGTGGAGCGGCAAGAACCAGCAGCAAAACACCAACCTCGCGCTCCGCCAGGTGGGTTTGAGTTTCGTGCGCTTTCTGGTGATCTGCGGATGTGTCTCCCTTGTTCTTGTCCTTTGTTTTGCTCCCGTTGGTGCTCTGCTGAGAGTGTCTCTTCACTGATCCAACAAAACCGGCAGCGAAATACGGACTTGACGCTGCGCCAGGCAGGACTAGGTCGATGTGCTGCTTTGCTTTGCGAGTTCGTTCTTGATTTCGCCCTTGAACGGTTCTGTGTTTCTGCCAGCTGCCTCACGCTCGCTATGAGGGCAATCTATGTGTCACAAAAGCCGCCTTGAGAGAGGATGAGCCACGCGTTTTCTTCTGTGCGGTTGTCGGTTTCTTAGCATGGTCCGACGGTGGGTGAAAGTTGCTCTTGGTCTCCTTGACTAAGCAAGGACCAATAGCAAAAAGACTAAGCTCCCGCTGCGCCAGGTGAGGTCCGTCCGTGCGTCTTTCTTTCTCGTATTCGTCACGTTCTCAATCTGCTTGATCGGCAAAAACCAATTCCGCGCTGCACCAGGTAGGGTCCTTGGTTGCGCCTTTTTTCTTTTGGTTTGCGGGATACCGTTATCACTTTACCCCGTCGGTGCAACTTCTGGGAATTTGGGGTAGCTTTGGTCTTTGCGAAGGTGCACAGATCTTTTCTTTGCTTTTATTGGCTTTCCCCTTCTGTGCAAGTGGCTCGTGTCAGATGAGGCAACGACCCGCAGAAGAACATCAAGCTCGCGCTGTGGCAAGCGGCGACCCTCTTAATGCCTGGGAGGTGAGAAGGTTACTTTCACGTCATTCTCCTCTCTATGTTCCGAGCCTCTTCTCACCCCTCTTCCACCCTTTCTAATGCCAGGTGAAGGGATGGGGCAAGCTCCTGGGTGCTTTCTCCACCACGAGCAAGGCGGAGTTTGCGCTCATCTACAAGGTCCAGGCCTGCTGTTACGAGGACGCCAAGCTTATGAAGCTCTTCGCCGAGGTGCGCCGCTCACGTAGACTCTCAGAGAACGTGGTTTTCTTTTCCCACGTCAGTCTAGTAAACAGATGGATCGATGAGAATACAGGCTTAGGGGCCTCTCTCGCCGAGGTGGGCTGCTCGCTCAGGCTTATAAGGGTGTCAGAGAATGTTGACTTTCACTATCTTGCGCCGTTCATACACTTTGCGACACATGATATGGGTTCTGGAAGAAGCACTTTTCCACAAAACGCTGGGTATAGCGTCTCTGGTAGAGACTTTACGAGTTTCCGTAAGCAGATGATGGGTCTGGGTCAACTGCTGTACCTTTGTTTGACCTCCATAGCTTCGGAAATTCCGGCATCTATCAAACCAGAGTATGCCAGAAGTATTTTGTTGTTTCCTTGGATCATACGAGGCTTGAAAAGCACATCCTTCGCATATGGTGCATATTTTCTGAAGACCTGCGCTTCCCTACTTCAAGCTTGTGGTTCACCAAGACTCAAATTCTGTCGGACCTGACACACCGTCTTCTGCAGATTGTGCGCATCCTGTATGACTTGGACGTGCTGGGCGAGGACACCATCCTGACCTGGTATCGCAAGGGGACTAACCCCAAGGGCAGGCAGGTGTTTGTGAAGGCCCTGGAGCCGTTCGTTAAGTGGCTGGAGGAAGCCGAGGAGGAAGACGACGAGTAAATGTATCGAATTTGCCTTACGATGCTCGACGCTGTTTTGTTTTCGACTGAAGAGTTTTTGAGCCGTATCGCTTATTTCATGAAGTCCCAAGAGCTGTGTGGGGATGTTTTCAGAATGTGAGGTGCACTGTGCTCTAACAAAACCCGGCCGTCTGCACCTCCCAGCCACTATCACATGCTTGAGTGACACCATCTTCGTATGCTCGGAGTTCTACTGAGCGCTAGCTTCTTACTGAGCGCTAGCTTGTTGGAAGGCGTTGAGCGCATTGAATGACCTTGTGCTGGCCATCGACAACCCTGAACTGTATTCGGCGGTTGGCCTGGAGGCACACGAACATAGTCAGGCTGTTTCGGCCGCTTAGGCCGGCCCGGCCATTCTGTCTGGTGATTTGGTGTTTAGTAGAGCTGTAGCTTAGTGCTTTAGACGAGGAATAACTCTGTCAATGAGGGTTTAAATATGTTCCTTATACTTCATTCACGCACTTGCATTTCCGAGGTTCAGATTTGGCCGCCGTACTATGATAATATGATTATGTGAATACCAAAGAGGGCACCCCGCTCCTCCGAATGCATGTCAGTCAATTTGATTCCCCCCACGTGAACCATCTTAACACGGCAGCGGGATTCGACCTATAGAAGACAAAAGACAGGCAGAATGCAGATCAAACGTGGCGCGTCGATTTGATGCATGAGCAACGCAGTGCAACTCGACGATCTGCAACTTCAAATGTGCAGTAATATTTGGTCGAATTTGCAGATGCAATCGTCAACTTTACTTGCACGGCCGCCGCATTGAGACGGTGACGGTGAATGTTTTCGATCGAAGATCGAACTAATCCGAGAACGACGTTTATCCCTAGCGTACCGAACTCAGTACGGTACCGTAGTGACTACTGATTATATAATAACAGAATCTCATACAGAGCCGGAAGAAAAAAATTTGCATGCCTATACATAATATACCATAAAAGGTCTATACATGTATATACACTTTGTATCGAAATATCGCGAGGCCGGACTCGTAGCATTCAGTGAATTGTACGTATGGTATGGCATGCATGTTACGTATGGTATGGGATGCACGAGTACTTACGGCCTGGCCCGGGAGTACACAACGCTGTATGCATAATACTGTGAGTCAACCGTGCAACGTACTGCATGTCGAATGATCATTCAAGCATCTAGCACACTGCAGGCCGGTACAATACGTCATTGTATGACGTCTGACACTTGTCTTTGAGACAGGTCCATCTTGTCTTGATTGTCGAGCACGGTCCAATCCATCAAACAATCTGCTACTTTCTTTGAAGGTTGCTTTGGATCACGAACACACGGGAAGGAACCAGTCCTTTTCTCGAGCAGATGTAGCCGGGGAACGGCTCGACGGGACCTGACGAAAAGTGGCCGTTCGCATCATGATGCACTTTACCGCGGCTGCAATTTTTGCCGCCTGCAGTGCGGAGACTTGACGAAGTACGGCGATTGCTTAAACGGCTTTGACATTGAAGATCTATCGGTTTGCGAGCAACCAAGCCTGCGATTGGAAAGCTTGGCTTGTAACACACGGCAACAGATAGCTACGAGCTTGAGACTCTTTGAGTTGTGATACAGGTGTCCAGTACGTTCAAGACCCTTTCGCGTGTCTCGAAACACTATAGATAGGACACAGACACTCTCAATGATCACTACAGGACCATTGCTCCGTCTTTGCCTGAAAAGCAAGATTTGAAAAGCAGCAGCACACACGATACAATCGCCCATGTGAAGTCATTATGGGACCGGATGATTATGCATGGATCGAATGTCGAGGACCGCCAAAGCTGCTGCAAAAGGCTGTGCACCGAGGTTGATAAAAGTAGCATACAAGCACTCTAGGTGAACTTTCCATGGACAGACGTACACGCCATATGATGCACAGATTAGATGATTGGAGCACTGTTCTAGCGTCCACTGTTGGATGACCGCAGATCAGCATGAAATTCCGTCCAAATCTTCGCTGAACTGAATGTGTTGGCGACCATCGATTAGAGCATGATGTTATCATGACCCAGGAATGTATTGTTTGTCGATCTATGTGACATAAAATAATCTGAGGGTTGGCCTATTACTGCACTTGCCTAAACCAGTGCTGATTCTGCGGGGGCCTGCATCTCCACGCTACATACTTTAGGCCGTTGGTAGAGCTCCTTAATCCGCCTTGGACCCCAAAATGAGAGGCAATAGAGCACACCCCCCGCCAGAAATATCCACGTGGTTCCACGAAGGGGTCAACTGTCCGCAACTCAAGCCGAGTCAACAAATGACAAACGGTAACAACCGCACCACGAAATTTTGACAACCTGGTGCACTGGTCCCTTCGAATTCAGCTGATCGAGCTAGCTCCGGGCTGCCATCTCACCATTAGTTGGGTTACTGCCTGCTGCGCCGCTTTTACCACAATCCAACACCTCCTCCGCTAATAGCTGTGCTATATAGCTTATATGCATCTCATTTGCAGGAATCTTATTCCAAAGAATGGCCTCTATAGGTATCACCGTCAGATTCACTAATGCTAAGCAAGGCTCGACCGATGAGCGCACCCCAGCACCACAAGCTTTAGAACTACAATCTAAAAGCACCTCGCACTTTAACCAAAGAAACCGGGGGTGTCTTCCCAGGAACGGCTGGAGAAGTCGGCAGGAGCCTGAGGAGTTGGGGCTGGAGCCTCAGGGGTTGCTTCCCCCCAGAAACTGGGGATGTCTTCGAAGGAACGGAAGTCGGCAGGAGCCTGAGGGGTTGGGGCTGGAGCCTCAGGGGTTGCTTCCCCCCAGAAACTGGGGGTGTCTTCAAAGGAACGGCTGGAGAAGTCGGCAGGAGCCCGAGGGGTTGGGGCTGGAGCCCGAGGGGTTGGGGTTGGAGCCCGAGCCCGAGGGGTTGGGGTTGGGGCTGGAGCCTGAGGGGTTGGAGCTGGAGCCTCAGGGGTTGCTCCCCCGAAGAAACTGGGGATGTCTTCCCAAGACGCGAAAGAGCTTTGGGCTGGAGCCTTAGGGGTTGCTTCCCAAGACCCATTGGAGCTTTGGGCTGGAGACCGAGGGGTTGCTTGCCAGAAACCGCTGGAGCTTTGGGCTGAAGAGTTTGCGCTGGGCTTGTACACGATGAAGCCAGCAGCCTGGACCTGCCTCCTCCTGTTGAAGCCGAGGACGCGGACGTAGGTTCCAGGGAAGGTCCTCTTGCACTCCTCAACCTCGCTCAGCACCTCGTTGGCGTTTTGGCAGCCGAACAGAGGCAGCTTCCACATGGTCCAGTAGCGGCCGTCATAGTATCCAGGGCTGGTGTGGTGCTCCCTGTGGATGAAACCGTTCTGCAACAGAAAAGTCAAAATGAGTGCACCAAATGAGGATGGACAATGAAGGGCATTTGAAGAGGCTGGGGTCTCCTATTTCTCCAAATGGAGGATTAGTCTCAAACCAATGTGATGACTTTCTAGGAATCAAAAGCATTGATGGCTGACAGGTTCTCTTGCCCTCTTGTGACATTTGCATCTTCTCTACATCACAATCGATCACTTGCGAAATCGTCTTAAGGCTTTCGCTTTTACCAACAAATCTGTCAAGGCACTGCAGAGCTACCAAGCCGAGTCAGCAGATCGACGTTGACGTGTTCAAAATGAGACTAGATCTACAAGACAGACAGACTGGAGACAGAAGAGGGCTGTAGTACTTACATTGTCGAACTCAATACAGGGGCTCCAGCCCTGTGCCAGGAGGTAGTCCACCTGCTTCAGGATCTGTTGAGCGGAGAGGGGGGGGAGGTAGGAGAGGGTCTCGAACTTCTTGTTGTTGATGGGGGTCCACACCTGGAAGGCAGAAAGGAAACAGAATGTTAACAACTTTCCCAATGCCGAATGCAGCTCTCTGTCTTGGAGCTATCCCGTAGCTATACTCAAAGCAGAAATGAAAAGAGATGTTGAATGCAGCTATGTGTCTCGTAGCTATACTCAAGGAGGTAATGCCGCTAGTGGGATAAAGTGGATCTGCGCAAGCACTCTTTGCCTCCCTTATTGACATGACATGTTCCTACAACGGTAAGGCATTTTTATTCATGATCCTATTGGCCGAACCCTTACCGGATTGACCGCGTTGACCAAAATCGAAACTCGAGCGAGTAACCTCTTAACCGTCCTCTACTAACCCCACCAGACTCCCTGCTTCGAAAACGAGACATCCTTAACCCCAAAAGAAAGCCTTCATCGCAAAACTTTCAAAGGGGAGGTCATTCTAGTTTCAACTTCAAGTCCAGCCTGTATTGTAACCTTCAGTGGACCTTGAGTGACTCAGTTGCACATACTTTCCTTCTTAAAAACCAGTCTCTGACTAGATCTGATCTACAGTCCCTCACTACAATCTCCTCTCAGTTTGTCGAAACCATCAAGAAAAGGATGAATCACCTGCATGTCCTGCATGGCCTGAACGCGAGATCCATTTGACACAGTCTGAGAAGCGAAGCCTTTGGAAGGAGTGCACAGAGCGTTCTTCTGCTTGAGGCCGGAGAAAGCTCTGAGAGGGGTGGCTGTCGAAGCCTTGCCGGCGACGCTAGCCTTGGCGGAGGCAGCTGCGAAGGAAGCAGCACAGCCGACGGACTGGACAGCCAGGGAGGACGCCATTTTGGTGCGAGAGCTAAAAGATGCGCCTTGAAAAGTTGATGAACTGGAGGGAGAAAGGAATGCTGCGTGCTGCACTGTGTGATATGTATGATCCCTGCCCTCACAGCTGATCAGATGGAGAATGTGGAGCCTTCCAGCTTGAGCGGGAATGGTGGTTTAAAATTAACTATTAAGTAGGTTAGTGCGCGACGAAATCTGATAGGCCAGTGTTTAGGCCTGGATCAGTCCGTTTGCGAGGCCGGTGGCCGTGTGCATGCTGCAGGAGCCGGCCGGTTAACGAGCTTCTTGTGTGGGCCAGTGTGGGGTGAGCAAAGAAACCTGCACACATTTCAACATTTGTGGCCTGCGTTTTGCCTTCACAAGTACCGAATCTGCTCGAGGGGTTTTGGTGGCCGGTGGATAAGATTCGCACTTGACACCGCACAAAAAGGTAAAGGGCGACAACTGCATGGCACTTTTGGCGGTTCATCATGACGCTGGCATAGCCTGCGATCGAGTGCTGGGTCGCCTAGGACCCTATTGGCTGGCCGTCGAGTCCGAACACCAAGTGTGACATCATACATGAATGGCACAGGCGGATTGAAATTGGACACCTGTCCCAGGGCCAAAGCGAATCGACGGCATCCTGAATTCCGCGGCAGCCTCCTGTGTCACCGTCGACCCCGACTCCCGCGCGGGCCTGGTGCGGCCGCCGGCCGGCGCGTCGGCCGGCCAGCGGTTTCATTGAATCCGACTGGACCGATCCAATCGCCACGCGGCCGGCCGGGCAGAGCCCGGGCAGAGTGGCCGACGACGCGGTGCAGCCTGCATGGCACACCGTACGGTACCACAACCGTTCGATAGACTTTTCCGTCATCGTGCGCCGTCAAATCGTTCATCGCACGGCCGGAGTTCAGTTTGAACCATTACATCGCAAAATTGGACCCGTCGAACGAAACTCATTAAGCTTTGCCTTAGGACTCAGGTGCAAAAAGTGCGCGGCACTGACTCGGGTATTGTCGTACTGCCCGGCTGAAATGTGAAAGTGGTCGGAAATACCACATTTCAGTCCGGCCGAGTGACCGCGGGACTGCATCCGGTAGGTACTTATCGAAATTTAAAATTCTTCACGGAACTCGGTGATTTCCGACTCGCCGAAACGCCTTGTTTCCAGTGAACACTGAGTTAAACTCACTGAACTCCGAGGCTACAAGCAGCGCACGAGGCCCGTAGCCCCAAATTCGCCGGCGACTCCGACTCAAATCGACCGGGCCTCGCGTGAGAGGCTGTACCACTGTTCTACTAGCAAAATAGGCTGCGCCGAGGCTGCAGTGGCCAATATCCGGGCCTCCGAAGCGTTACATAGGTAGCTGAGACTTCAGACTTGCTGTTCGATCGCCTCTCGTGAGTTGGATTTCCTAGGGTCCAGACCGGTTGTGACGTCACGGAAATTTGCAAAACCTCCGAACCTTCACTTTCATGAACGGACGTGCGCGGCGGCCGGGCTTCAGCGGCCGCCGCCATTGAAGCCGCGGTCAAGATTGTTGCTTTCCAGTGACCTTATTCCCACGGGGTGGCAACTCCAGTTTTAAAATAGAGGG